GCATGCAAGGCAAGCGCTCTACCACTGAGCCACCTTCCCAGCCCCTTAAAAAAGTTCTTCTAGAGATGGACATTTTAAGACCATGAAAAGAAGCTGAGGTAGAACTCAAATCTGTCTCCCCTCCACACTGCCTCGCTGCTCGGCATGGCGTTGCTCCGTACTCAAATGCTGAAAACCAGGACTCTGCATCAGAAAGCCTCGAAGGGCAGAAGAGAAGATGGCGCACCGCTGGCCGCAATCACAGCTCAGGGGGGAGAGGCAAGCTTGCTGCCAGTCCACTGAGTCAACCTGTTCAAGTCACTTTACCTGCAGTACCTTCTCTGGTCTTTCTCTTCACTTTCCTGCTTAATCTCATGATGCTGTGACTTTGTGGAGATGGCTATGAGAGATGTGGCTTTTAGAGAAACTACGAGAAGGTCTCAGGCCAGAAACCCAGGGATCCTCTTGGTGCCCCTTTCTTCCACTCAGTCTTGCCTGGCATCTCTCTCCCTTCGCGGCCTCTGGCAAGGATCACTCAGCACTCCCATCGCCCCCTTTCTCTTTTCCGAGCCAGAGTTTTCCCACCGTCCCCAAGGCGCAGCTCCCTCTCCCCGCGGCACTGCTGCCCTCTCCTTCCTGCACAGTCCTCACTGGACTTCTTGCTCTGACTCCTGAGTGACAGCCATGCTCTCCCCACATTGTTCTCCTCTGTTCATGTCCGCCCAGCCCCTCAGGCTCTGTTTTTTCTGCTGCTCATAGACTTACCGCACTTGGCCCAGTGGATTAAGCAAGTGCCAGCTGACCAGCCCAGGGAGAGAGCACACTGAAGAACCCCAGGAGGCTCACGCTCCCTTTCCCCAGCTTCTCAGGTAAGATTAACCATTCTATTTCTTCCCCAGGCAAAGATGCCTCATTACTGCCCAAACCAGCCCACTTTTTCTTACTTCCAGAGCTGAACAATAGTGGTCTGTTCCTTCCATTTACTGGGCCCTCAGTATTTCAGCAAAGAGCACTTACAATGCAGGCTCTGAAGGCTTTTGGGCAGTGACCAAGCCAACACTGTAACGTGGTGTTCAAGTCTCTGAACAAGTTGGTTACACATGCCATTCGTGCTCATTCGATCTACTTGGCGTAAATTATTCAGCTGGGAGTGTGGTGCGAGTGCGGCAAGCCACAGGCGCCACGTAGTTAATTATATTTCCATTACTAATTGCGCGCAGCCCTGCATTATCTTCTCAGAGTGGAGCGGCATGTGGCCTTGGGGAGGTCTCCGGATTTCCCTTTCACAAGGTCAGGGAGTCTGCTCCTGCGCAGGGGCCCGCGCTGCTGCCCCTCTCCTCCTCACTTATACTCAGGGTTTCGGGACGTCTCTCTCCTTCCACTTCCACCTCAACCCACTGGACACTTGCTGTCTTCAGGCCTCTCTCCCCTCAGATACCTGGACTCGCCCTGGAAGGCAGGGAACGCTAACCTTCTAGTGATTCCTTTGGAATCCCCCCGCATGCCAGCAAGCCCAAGCCTCCCAATCAGCCGCCCATTCTGGACGGAACAACTGGGACACCGGCAGCGTCTAGCCCAGCCATGGCGTAGTAAGAAAAACAGCATGAGCAAGTAAGGGCCATGTGCGAGGAGAGATGCCATGCTGGAAGGTTCACTCCTCACAGGCCTTCAGGTCCTGCTTACAGTGTTGTAATGCCTGGACTCCACGCCCGGGCCTCATACAACTGTGTACCGTGAGAGGCCCTCGTCTACGATGGCGTCTTTAACCTAAGCAGTGTTCTGTGGTGAGAGCCCTCGGGCCCCTCCCTGCTGTGCTCTCTGCCTTACCGACAGATGTCCACCAGCTGGTCCAGCTCTGAGCAGCTGCACTCGTACAAGTCCCGGCAGCTCCCGTGGCTCTGGTTCATCAGCTCTCCCAGCAGCTGGACCGTGTTGTCAGGTGCTTCTTCACAGATTGCCTTAAATCGCAGCACTCGGGCAGCCTCGCTGTACACATGCTTTGCCCGCTGGTAGAGTTTGAAGACAAGCACTGGGGAAGGAAGGAAGGAAGGAAGGACAAAAGAAAGTTTATAGAGTTGCGAGATCACATAATACAAAGAGCGGCAAGTGTGTACATGAATGTGTTCCAGACAGGGCCACACCAAATAACCCAGCTCGCCTCCAGCTCACGATCTTCCTGTCTCCACCCCCCAAGCGTTGGATTCCAGGTGTGCGCCACTACACGGATGACAGTTTTGAGTTCCTCCATTATCAATAACTTAAGACTCGCAGTGGGTTTCTTTTTCACTGAGAGAATTCTGCATCGTTGAAATCTGTCTATTTGGAAGCCCATTTTAATTTTTCCTTGATACTGAATAAAAGCCAGACAAGCGCATGCGCATGCAGGCCACCTGCACATCCCGCTGGAAGGCACATGTGCATGCGCCAGCACATGCTTTCCATGTGCAAGGTACACGTGTGGTACTGTCCTGCTTCACAGACGAGGGCAGTGTGACACGTGTCCCACCAGAGAGTTGCAGAAACAGACCAGACTAGGGACGTCTAGTCTTCAAGCCCTGTCCAGTCTGCCTCACCCCATCAGAAAGGACCACAGACAGTGCTTGTCTGGCAAGAAGCATCCTGGTTAGACAGGGAAGCGTGTTAGGTGCATGTGCCTCTATATAGTGCCGTGTTATTGACCATGACAGACAAAACTGAACCAAATGTCTAACGACAATATAAATTGGAGAATTTACATACTGCTGCTATTAAAACCCCAATTCTAGCCAGGCGCTGGTGGCTCACGCCTGTAATCCTAGCTACTCAGGAGGCTGAGATCTGAGGATCGCGGTTCAAAGCCAGCCCGGGCAGGAGAGAC